CAGAAAAACAAAAACAAAGCATCCTCCACTCCATCTAGCAAGAATTTAGGGTGAGGCCTTGGGAATGCGAGGTCCTGAGTTCTCCAAGAGAGACTGGCGCTGTCTTCCACCCCACCCCTGAGTCAGAAACACGGCCACCACCTGCTCACCTGTCAATGCATTCCTGCCCCATCACCCAGGTTCTCACACTCACAGTGTTACTCCTCTGCAAACCAGGCACCCCTTACGCTGGCCCACCCACCCGCGGTGCAGTTGTATTTTTACTCTTCCTCCTATCACACCTTATTTGCTGGCCAATTTATTTATTTTTTTAAAAATATATTTTTCAAGAACTTGGCTCAACCATCATCTCCTCCACGGAGCCTTCCATGAATGCCTTGCTCAGCCCACCCTTCTACCGTGTGGCTTAGGTGCCCAGGTCTCATTCTCCCAACGCTGTCATGGGCTGACTCCCTACCTGACTCACCTCTTTAAAGATGGGAGCTGTGTGGAGAAATTTTTTCTCAAAGTATTTTTTCTCTTGTGTTTTGCCTCTCTAACTTTTATTTTGACTTCTTTTATATATTTTACCACCTTTCTGCAGACTTCCTTTTCTTTGCACCCCTTCGTGTCCAGTCCATTCCATCGGCTGCACTTGTTGTCTGAAACGCACCCATGGCTTCTCCCGAATTCCACTTCACACACACACACACACACACACACACACACACACACACACACACACACTTTCATTTTCCAAGTCCTTGAATAAGAAAACTAAGGGGGGGAGGAATAAAGAAAGGCATGCATTGCCAAGTTCTCTGTTACTCTTCCTTGGAATATTACACTAGAATTCCTTTTCTTGTAAAAACACGAGTTGGTAGAAAACATCAGTGCCTGTGGTGATTTAAAAAATAAAAAAGAATAAAGCTTCCCAAGTCTGTTGAAAGTAGCTTACGGAACACGATTACCCCATCGCAGAGCTGCGTGAACGGATGTCTCTTTCAAGACTGTGTAGGCAGGTGCTCTCATCTGGGGACACCGTGTGCTCTCATATATTTGTGACATTGCTCTTTGGTCACTGTTGTGATCCTGCCTGCCCCAGCGGCTCTGAGAGGACCAGCTCAGGGAGGCCTTCAGAGCACATTGCCAATGGAACGTGAAAGCAAAGATGGGTCCGTTTAGATCCTCGAATCCACTTCCACCAAAAACAAAAAACGAAACAAAACTGTTCCCAATTTCCTCACCCCAACAGGAAAGCTAAAATTAGATATTCTGGGGGGAAGACTGAAGAAGGAAACAATCCTGTAAGTGAATGACCACAACCTCTTCTGTCTGATGAACCAAGAGGAGCTTCCAGAAGCTTCCAGAAGCTCCAGAGGCAGCACCTACAGCTACAACCTGCTCCTTCCCACTCGGAGCAAGGGTACGCGCCCATGCCCTTAGCATTGCAGCTGAACTCCACACCTGCATGGATTATCTGCTGCCCTTTCCGCTTTGTCTCAGAGAGAAGAAAGAAAAAAAGACAAAGCAAAACAAACTCGTGCTAGTGAGAAGCTAAGAAGCTGGGCTTCTCGGAAGAAGTCTAGGGAAACATGAAGCTTGGGATATTGGATTCCCACTCAGTGTTTCTTCTGAAAGGTGAGGATGCTCCACTCTGCACCATCTGTTCCATGGAGTTACTCTACAAAAGTTTCTTCCCAAAAAACACACATAGAAAAGGTCCAAAAGCTCAGTTTCTTACCACCAGTCATACCTCCAGGATTAAAATACATAAACGATTGTTTAAATACAGACGTGAAGCCAACTTCTAGATACAAATTGAGAAATCAAGTCTGGAAAGACTGGAGAAGTAATATATTTTGTGGAAGTTCATGGCATAACACATGTAATATGGCTAATTTTATTCATACTGTATTAAAAAAATCTTTTTAATGCTTGGCACTTCCTATAACTATTGATCTTTTAAAATAATTTTCCAGTAGAAGCATTTCTAAACTCTGTTTATTTACTGATCAGTGTTCCCCCAGTGGAAACATGCTTTGGGAAGGTCATTATGTACCACAAAGGTTAGGAAGATAGGGGAATTGTAGCTTTTCACAGAATGACCTTGGTGGACCAGTTTTTGAAAGAGAATTTGCTTCGCCTCCCAAACACGGATGAGGGCCTGACCAGACCTCCAGTTCAGCTGTATAAACATCAAGCTTCCAGACTGCTTGGAAAGAAAAATCAGAGAAAAACTTGAAACAACCAGTGTAAAGCCAGAATAATACAGTGATATTATTGATTGTTTCTCCAGGCACTAACCTGTGAGTTTCCTTTCATCAAGGAAGAACAAAGATCGTTTGACTTTTTCATCCCTATGCTGTGGGTCTAATGAACATTGTCGAAAGCAGTGTTTACTATAGATATAATTTTTGACATGCTTTGACTCAGAAGCCTATGGTTTCTGATCACCTCTGAATCTAGCAGTCTCTATTGACAACTGCACAGTAGTCCTTCTCTATATATAAAAGCCTAAGCCACTTTGATGGACCAGTTGATGGATCAGTCCACCAGTTGCTGTGATGCACACTGACCACCAGGGGTCAGACACTCAACACAGGAGCTTCCCCCTGGTGGTGAGTGCGCTAACCTCCCATGGCCGGCTAACCTCCACAGTCCCTCCCCTGTACTGGGCGTGACGGCCCTGATTGGCCTGATCACCAGCCATGCCAAGGGACCCCACCAATGCACGAATTTGTGCACTGGGCCTCTAGTTTTGTAATAAACTCCATGGCATACCTACAACTTTGTACACTAGTGGGAAAAATCAGTGCTTTAGCCCTCTTTTAGGATAAACTGTAAACTTGACTGGCAGAACTACTTGTGTTCCTGACTTGAGTGATATTTCTAAATAGATTCATTAATAGCTAGCTGCATTTTTTAGGCCAACTATATAAAATAATTGAGCTGAGTTGTTAATAGTAATAGGGTGTCAGTTTATTCACAGGTGTTGGGGGAAAGCTTATGAAATGTTCCACGGAGTTCAGGATTGACTTAATAATCACTTAAAATACCTTAGTTTTCCGTGTGTGAGAGCTCAGGGCCCCTCCCGAGGAGAACGAACTGGCAGTGGCCCCTGCATTGGCGTGGGCCAGGCTCCTTGCTGTCCTTTGCGCACGTGGAAAGCTAGATGAGATGAGGGATGTGGCAGGTTTATTCCAACTTCACACAGGAGGAAATGATTCAAAACCACTTCACAAGCTGCTTCTGAGGAATCAGCATTTCAATCTTTTTTTTTTTCCTGGACTCTTAGTCTATGTTTGAATTTGTCATTAGCTATTAACACTAACTCAGAGTCCAAGCTGAAATCTGTCAAAGACAGAACAACCGGAGGACGAGCCAGACTCAAGCACATGAGGGATCTCTTCATCCCCGTGGATGCTCTGTAGTCAAGGCTTGTTTGCTGCCTTGCTTGTTTTTTAATGCAGAAGAGGAAAGGAAAGGACAGTATCTTTTCTGAGAAATTTATTAACTTATATTTTAAAATATAACTTATATTTTAAATATATTTTAATATATTTGGTATATTAATCAAGTTCCAGGTCTGTCTGATGCTGCCAAAGAAATATACAGGAAGCTATTGTGAAAATAATTTCGTACATTTTTCTAATATAATTATCTAATAACTTCCAAAAAGAAGGGTAAATGTTGACATTAAAATCTTATCCTCCTTGCCCAGCTGGTGTGGCTCAGTGGTTGAGCATCTGCCTGTGAACCAGGAGGTCACGGTTCAATTCCCCGTCAGGGCACATGCCATTAAGGGGCGTGCAGGAGGCAGCCGATCAGTGATTCTTTCTCATCATTGATGTTTCTATCTCTCCCTCTCCCTTCCTCTCTGAAATCAATAAAAAAGTACATTTATAAAAAAGTCTTATCTTCACTGGCAAATGTTTTCCCTTTGTCCCTTTAGTTTGTTTGAGTCCAAGACCCTGTAAACGGCAGCATTCTTGTGAAAAAATAAATCATTAGAGTTAATTTAAGTAGTTGTGATGGTGGTAGTTTCTTATCTGATGTATTATAAAATAAAAGTGGAACAAATTTTAATTGGACCATAGACAGTAATTTGAACTTCATGGCATATGGCAGGGGAGAGATTAGATTACTTGCCAAGTCCAGTCACAAAATATTGATCATTTCTTAAGAGGACACATTCATTCATAGACTTCAAATTGATGGGATGAAATCATGTCTGGTATTATCTAAAAACAGGCGAGTTAATGTTCTTATCATGTGTGTCCTACCACATCACTTTGTCCTTATCACAGGTGGTTAAGCTGAGTCTGTTAGAATGCATTTCCCTCTAGGACACACTAGAGCAAGGAGGGACTAGACCCAGCCCTGAAATTTACCTTGGGGCTTATCTGACACACTATTTCATTCAAAGCCTTGTATTTGCAGTGATTTTAATAGATTTTCAGTCATGAAAGATTATTTTATAAATTCTGGGTTTTTGCAATAGTTTTTTTTTTTTTTTATTGTTGTTGTTGTTTTCTAGTTACCATCTTCTTCTTTGTTCTATTCAGAAAAGATCGGGGGCGTGGTTGATTCAAACTACCATCTAAGGGTTAAATATGATGTGTGGCCCTACATCTCCCAGCAGTGTCGGGAAAAATTTTCACTGATTTAAGTAGGTGTTACAGCTCAGTAAAGAATGGGCCTATGTTTGGCAAGAAAGCAAGTATGGAAACTTCACTCACAGCCAAACACACCAGAATAAAGCCATTGGTCAACGTAAAAGGAAATGGTTTTGACAGATTGGCACTGTTGGGGAGGGTTAGAAATCCACCGAAATTTGGGATCCAAGTGCATGTGCATCTTGCCGTGGGAGAATCCGACCCAAACGTCGGAAGTGGCTGTCTGTCCACTAAACACTCTGATCATCCCTCCCGGTCTTTGTTGTCACCGTGGCTTCTGCTCTGTTGTGAGAGCAACAGATCCGATGTGTCCAGTCAACACTCCTTTTCCTTTGTGTGCAGACGTGGAAGTAGAGCCAAGCAGAGAAGAGAAGAAGGAATGCTACTACAACCTCAACGACGCCAGCCTCTGCGACAACGTGCTGGCCCCCAATGTCACCAAGCAAGAGTGCTGCTGCACCTCCGGGGCTGGGTGGGGCGACAACTGTGAGATCTTCCCCTGCCCGGTCTTGGGGACGGGTAAGCATTTGGTCGTGGGGCGGCCGAGGGTTCTCCTTCTGCTTTGAATGAGAACTGGGGCTCTGAGGCGCTGGCACTCGCTGGTAGCTGCCCGACTGGAATTCAACTGAGGCTACCTTAGAGTGCGTCTCCCTTAGAGCTGGAAAAAACCACCTCAGTGTGCATTCCTGAAGTTCTTTCCATCACCGAATTTACGGTTCCAGGGAGGTTCAGTATTATAGTTGGCAGGAAGAGAATTCCATGTTACCCCATTTTTTAAAATGGAAACCAATCTTTTTTTTTTTTTTTATAACAACGACATAGCTTGACCCATAATGAGCAATTGCATGTTTAAGCTAAGGTTTCGCTTGATGGATTCCTGTTAAAACTTTAAAATACTAGAGACCACAGTCATGGAGAAGTCAGTCATAACCCCAAGTGCAACATGAGTAGGTAAAATATGGGCGAACTAGGAAGGTTTTATACAAATAATTATAGGTACACCTCTGAAGTCATTGGTTTTATTTGCACCTAATGCATAATTTTTGAGATTGTACTGAATTTATTTGCCTGAAGAGGATGTTAAAATGTGTCTTAAAGTTACTGAGTCCGGGGTGGGATGGGGTTTGGGGGGGGAGAGGCTAAAGGGGGAGAAAGGGGGACAGCTGTAATACTGTCAACAATAAAAAAAAAATCATAAGATAAAATACACATTAATGGAAGTTGTTGATGCTTTTCTCTTTCAACTTTTTTCCTTTGTCTTTCCTGAAATCAGCTGAATTCACTGAAATGTGTCCCAGAGGGAAAGGTTTTGTCCCCACTGGAGAATCCTCATATGAAGCTGGTGACAAGGACTATAAAGGTCAGAATTGAGCAAAAATGAATTGACAATGTGTGTGCATATCAGACACTCAAAAGCGTGGCCAGGGTAGACAGCATTAGAGTCCGTTTGAGCCCGGGAAACTGATGACAAAGTTTTTATTCGGCCCCAGGAAGGGACCCCTGTGGACTCTGGGCAGGGCCGTGCGTGGCCTGGAGTTAGCACTTTAGGCACTTAACCTGCTGAGTTTCCAGCTCTGGGACAGGGATGATGTCTCAAAAGTTGTTGTGTCTCAGTGGTTGAGTGTCAACCTCTGAACCAGGAAGTCATGGTTTGATTCCTGGTGAGAGCACAGGCCTGGGGTTCAGGCTCGGTCTCCTGTCATGGGCATGCAGGAGGCAGCCAATCAATGATTCCCTCTCATCATTGATGTTTCTATCTCTTCCTCTCACTTCCTCTCTAAAATCAATAAAAAATATATTTTAAAAAAAGTATCATGAGGACTACATGAGATAATATATGTCAAAGTACCTAACACGGAATTTTGTACTTAATAAATTTATTGTTTTATTCCAGAAGCATATTAGAAACCTGTGTTAAGACTATATATTTGTCATCATGTTGCTCTTTAATGATTGGTCTTTAATAATCATCAATAAAGCTAGCATTCTTGCTTCTTTAGAACTCATCCTACTATTGTTAGGGCCTTTTACTTATGGCCACAGATTCGTAATAAGGAATGGAAAAGAAGAAAGCAAAAGTAGATGTGTTTTATATATTCAGTGTTATTAGCCTATAATTCTAAAATAAATATGCAGCCTTTTTATTTGGGTGAAATTTAAACCACATGTATGAGTATTTCCTCACTAACCATTCTCTTTTGACATTTCCATGATAGAGATATTAAGTCCTTTTATAGACAAAGTGACTTTTTTTCTGTAAAATTTAATATTGAAAACTGCTAAGTGGATGGAAAACATTTTTTATTGTTCATCTTTTTGGAAAAATCGTGTTTTAATAATTTGGTATAATTCAGTAGCTGGGTAAGAAATTCCATCTGTGTTTTTTAAATACATCTATGATTTAGTCCCACTAAATAACAAGACTTGGTTGGTGATATGTGTTCAATGGTTTTTCAAGTTCACAAATATTACATGGTTTTGCCCGGATGTAGTTAAATCTCACTTAATATTGTGAGATGAAGCCCTGATTTCACCATAAAGTCATCCCCTCTTTTATAGAAAAATAAATTCCTCCCCTCCATATCTTTAGCAGCACTGGAAATGGTTGAAAGAATATTAGGTGCAGATCTAAATAGCCCTATATTTTGGACTTGGTTTTGCCATTTTCCAGCTGTATAACTTGGAGCAATTCATCTATGGAATCTCCAGTTTTTTAATGTTTTGTTGTTTTTGTGTGTGTTTTGTTTTGTTTTTGTTGTTGTTTTTTGGGGGGGAGGGGCGATTGTTTTTGTTTTTTCCAGAGAGAATGGAGAAAAGGGAGGGATGGAGAGGGAGAGGGAGAGAGAGAGGGAGAGGAAGAGGGGGAGGGGGGGGGAGAGAGAGAGAGAGAAACATGGATGTGAGAGAAGCACATCCACTGGTTGCCTTCAACACTTGCCCTGATCCGGCCAGGGATAGAACCTGCAGCCTAGGTGCATGCCCTTGACTGAGAATCGAACCTGAGACCCCTTGGTGTATGGGCCAATACTCTACCACTGGGCCACACTAGCCAGTGCTGGAATTTCCAGTCTTTAAAATGAGGACTAGAGGATATGAGCTCTAAAATGTGAGAACTGATGGTAATAATAATAATAGCACTAAAAGTAATAAGTAACACTTTCTGAGAGTACCGTATTTTCCAGCGTATAAGACAACCCCCTCGTGTTCTGTACCCGAAGCTACACTGTGTTCTAGTAAAAAGCCTGCTCAGATTGGCCAGAGTCAGAGAGGCGGTCTATTAAAAAAAGAACTGGTGTTGCCTCGGAAGTGGGGGATAGTCTTATACAGCGAATATACTTATACTGAATTCTTCACATGGATTCTCTTATCACTTAATCTTTCCAATCATATCAGATAGATTTCCTATTATCTCCAGTTTACCGCTGAGTATCCTGAGCACTCTAAATGCTGTGGGGGAGTGGATCTGCCAACATCCTTAACAACTTGTGCCTTTATTAGCTTATCATCCCCAAGAGAGAAGACTTTTATGAAATTCCATCAAACTCTTTTCAGGAGTTTTCATCGTCTCAGCTAATGATGGGGCTGAAATAATGTATTTATAGGAAGGCACATTTCTTCCAAGGCATGTCGTTTAGAGAATATTGTTGGTGCCACTGTAGAATCTCATAGACTGTTCCATCGAATACAAGGGAGCGGCCCAGAAACCATCTTTACAGATACACCTTCCCTATTGATGTTTCCGACTTGGTTTCTTAAACATCACAGACAACCCTGATTATGTTTCCACCACTGTGAATTAGTCTCAATTTCAAGACTTTTGTGTTGCTGTGTCTTTAAGAATCTTTGGCACATAAATGTAAAAGTATCTAGTGTGATGCTCAGGACTGGTTAGACGCTTCTTCTTGACTGAATGACCAAGCTGACTCCTCTCTTTGTTGCTCCATTTTCCACCCCCGCACCCTCCCCTGCTCTACAGATGCGGATGAATGCCTGCTCTTTGGACACGAAATCTGCAAAAATGGCTTCTGCTTGAACACGCAGCCTGGGTATGAATGCTACTGCAAGCAAGGGACATACTACGATCCTGTCAAATTGCAGTGCTTCGGTGAGTTTTAAGAGAGTAGAGGGTGCTGTGAAAATACACAGATGGGGGGAAAAAAAGTCATGCTGGGAAGGCCGAAACCAGTTTCTCTGCATCTAAACCATGTGTTGCGAAGATGTGTAAATGTTTTATGGATCTTTTTCATGAGCAAGGTTTAAGAAAACAAAAAGCTCCTACTATTGGACTAGATTGCAAACGAAGAGTTAATATTCGGTGTGGAATTATAATTCAGGTCGCTGGTTTGAGTGGAGTGTTCTTTTTGGTCTGGGGAACCTCCTGCTTCATCACTCATCCCGTTCTAAAATGCTGGCCCCTGACTGTAATGCTTAAGCAGAAAACCATACACTAGGCGGGAAAACACAGCCAAATGAAGTAGCTGTACAAGATCCTAAAAAGGCATTTTATCTTAAATGTCTACGCATTTTCTGTTCCTAAATGATTTTTTCCTTATGGATTGTCATCAGTAGCAGGGCAACATTATTTCCCAGGTCAACACAACATCATGGTTTTATTTATTTTTTATTTAAAATATATTTTATTGATTTTTTTTTTTTACAGAGAGGAAGGGAGAGGGATAGAGAGTTAGAAACATTGATCAGCTGCCTCTTGTACATTCACTACCAGGGATGCAACTAAGGTACATGCCCTTGACCAGAATTGAACCTGGGACCTTTGAGTCTGCAGACCGATGCTCTATCCACTGAGCCAAACCGGTTTCGAACCAGTTAGAGCTCAACATCACGGTTTTATAGTCAGACTGTTTTGGATAGTGATGTGTATGTAGTGAGTGAAATTGTGGCAGCCCCTGGAATCTGGACAAAGAGTGGGTAAGTGTATGAGACACAACTGATGACTGGTTTTCTTTCACGATTTCTTTCCCTTTCAGATATGGATGAATGTCAAGACCCCAACAGTTGCATCGATGGCCAGTGCATTAACACAGAAGGCTCTTACAACTGCTTCTGTACCCACCCAATGGTCCTGGATGCCTCAGAAAAGAGATGTGTCCGACCATCTGAGTCACACGGTAAGTTTGGATGGGCGATGCAGGCCTGTGTCCGAACAAATTTCTGTGGTTTTCTGACTAAAGTGTAAGCTATTGGAAAGGAGAAAAATTGATTCTGTGGTTATCTTTTAAATAATTCAAATGAAATGCTAGGAGAAATCATAAAATGCATATTATCAGTATGTAGGAGACTTGATACCCTGGACATACTCATACAATGGACAACAGTATTGGAGTGGTGGTACAGACACAAGGCTGTTTGTGCCTGAGGGTTGGTCACACTGAACCTTCAAGGGGGACTGAGGAGGATGTATTGATAAGTTCAGGGGGAGATACCGTATTTTCCGGTGTATAAGACGACTTTTGAAATGAAAAAAAGCCTGTTCAGATTGGCCAGAGTCAGAGAGGCGGTCTATTAAAAAAAGAACTGGTGTTGCCTCGGAAGTGGGGGGTAGTCTTATACAGCGAATAGAGGCCTAAATCTATGTTTTAACTGTAAAATTAGGGGGTCATCTTATACGCCGGAAAATACGGTATGTTTGTTTCCCAGGTTGCACTGGAGGACATAGGGGAAGCTGGGCAGAACAGAGGGTGGAGTTCAACAAGGAGGCAGAGAGCCTGGATGTCCATGTGATTGGTTCATCCATCCCCACATCCGGTGTGATGGGTCAGTCCATCATCACAACAGAGGGCGACTCTGGATGAAATCAGTCGAAAGGTCAAAAGGTTAGAATGGAGGACTCTGGGATGAAGAGTTCCTAGTCCAAGGCTTTGGCAGATGAAATGGGTGAGAAAGCATGAATCTAAAAAAAATATTATGTAAAAGATGAAATATTTATACCATCTGAAGAGAAATATTATGTAGAGAGAAGTGGTAGGATTGGACAGAGAAGTAAATAAGACAAAGCAAAGATTGAAGGAAGGAGAAGACCATTGGGAATAGGAAGTACAGGCAAGATAGTGGAGAGTTGTGTTTTTTTTCTAAATATATTTCATTGATATTTTTACAGAGAGGAAGGGAAAGAGAGAGAGAGAGAGAGAGAGAGAGAGAGAGAGAGAGAGAGAGAGAGAGAGAGAGAGAGAGAGAGAGAAGGGAGGGAAACATCAACTAGAGAGAAGCATCGATCAGCTGCCTCCTGCAAACCCCCTAATGGGGATGTGCCCGCAACCAAGGTACATGCCCTTGACAGGAATCGAACCTAGGACCCTTCAGTCCACAGGCCAACGCTCTATCCACCAAGCCAAACCAGCCAGGGCAAGATAGTGGAGAGTTTTATGTAGCGATGGATGCTATCCTGGGTAGGACATGGTTGGAAGAGGAGTGGGCAGGTTGAATTCAGCTGATGGGGTGGCACCCAGGTGGAGATGACAGAGGTTTGCTTCATGGAGAGACCGGGCTGGCTTCAGAGTTTTATTTGGAAGTCACTCTTAGCCACGGGCATGGGAACTTTGAGCCTCGCCAGCTTCCACCACCATGTTTGTGAAACAGGAGCCGTGGAGCCATTGTCACAGATCCACGCCTTCCCTTTCAGAACAAATTGAAGAGACCGACGTCTACCAAGACCTGTGCTGGGAGCACCTGAGCGAGGACTACGTGTGCAGCCGGCCCCTGGTGGGCAAGCAGACGACTTACACAGAGTGCTGCTGCCTGTATGGCGAGGCCTGGGGCATGCAGTGCGCCCTGTGCCCCATGAAGGACTCAGGTGAGCCCTACTGCAGTGTTCTTTCTGCCAGGGGGGTGGGGGGTGGGGGTGGGGGGAGCGGCTGCTGCTGGGCCTCAGTCCACACTCGCCAGGTTCTAGAGACATCTAACAGCATCCAACGTGACTGTCTTAAAAGCGATGAGAGTGCCGTTACCACTTTTTCAGAAAGAGGGAGCAAAGAACGTGTGTTTTAAAACTGCTCTGCTCATCATTTCTGTCCCTGAGCCTCTGACATATGCTGCTCCCGCATATCCCGATGGCTGAGAAAGGGCCACATTGTCTGTGTGTGACGTGAGCCCTGGCGGGGTCCCAGCCTGCCAGGTGCCGGACCTTCCACTTTCCCTAGGAGCCCAGCGCTGCCTGGGGGAACAAGCTGTTCCTGATGGAGACGGTGCTGCAGAAATGGAGGGGGAAATCGCAGCCTTTGTCATCTGCTCTGAGCATCAAGTGCAGCGTCCAGTGACGCTTTGGCCCCGGAGCAGGCATGCGCACTTCTGGCCCCACAGGTCACCCGGCCAGGGCAAGCCAATAATTATGTAAAATGAGTTTTTAAAGTTTTTATTGATGCTCTTGAAAGTATAAAATTAAAATTTCCTACAAGGTAGGTCAGATGCCATTATTTCATAGAAATAAAACCCTATTGACCTATAAATGAGAGAGAATTTGACAGATTTAAACACTGCAATCTAAAGTACCCAGGGATCCCAGTACCTGTGGTTCTTGTTAAAATAATTACACTTCTTTTAAGTAAATAATTAAAATAATTAGATTTAGTGTAAGTAAATGGAACATCAATCACCTGAGAAAGTCTTGATCTAAAGCTTTGAAGTTAAATTTTTTTTATGGGACACTTAGGAAGCTGGCAGAGTGCCACCTATTGGTAGTTTAATGTACTGTATCACAGGTGTTTTAACGTTAAGTATTCTTCATGCAAGTCAGGCATAGAAAGGTGAGAATGGTTTTGGGGGGAAAAATCTCCAAGGAAGCTGAAGAGCCACAAAAGAAATCGCACATGTTTGAAAACTTGTAAAACGCCAGTATTCAGTATTAATCAGGATGCAGAGATGCGAGTCCTTTTTTTTGCCAAGAGAACACTTTGAAGATCTGCTAGTAGAGGTACATTGGACTAAAAAAACTTCCAGTTCTGGGAAAACAGATTGGTTTTGTACTTGACTGCTAGGAATAAAAAAAAAATCATTATAGCATAATAAAAGTTTGAAATTACATAGGGAGTTGGCTGATAATTTTTGGTGTATCCATATAGTGGAAATATAGCTACTTTTTAAAGGAGACAAGTAATACAGCATTATGTCTGATTTTAGTTTTTAAACAAGGCAAAGAACGGCATGTTTATTAAGTCGTTATATGCAAGGTACAGCTAAGAGTAAGCACCATGACTGAAATCCAATCTAAATTGTTTATAATTAACCTGTTTTTCAGTTTTAAATTAATTACACACTTTTTCCTTCATTTCATTCTTTATAATTTAATTGTGTGAAGTCACATGCCATACAATCATGTTGTATTTCTAAATTAGAATAGTTTATTCCTAGCTATTGTCACGTTTAAATATGGAAGCGATGCCTTTATTTATGTATTATTAGCTATGACACTTCCTATCAGCTAATCTACCCCCAGTGTTTTCATGAGGGGTAGATCCCATAAAAGTGACAGAACTTGGAGTCTGAGCGATTGAGCTCGTGATATCTTCCACATCCCATGTGTGGCCCTTGGGGCTTCCATGTCCCAAAGATCTCAGCATCAGAGGGTTCAGAATCCCCTTGGAGGTGTGAGGGGGTGTGAAGGAAGACAGGTATTTGACTCTTGGACTAAATTTGAACCAATAGTGTAACTGGGCAGTGGCTGCAACAGGCCTTTCAGCAGTCACGGTTTGAAGGCTTTTCCAAGAAATAGATTTCCAAAAAATGTTAATAATAACTCTGGAACAGCGTGCACGTGAGGCACAGTGCATGGTGGCTGCCTCCGGTCTGGGCAGTCCTGGGCTTTCGTCTGCCTTGGCTCTGCTTCTGCCGATTGCCCCGGACAAGTCACTTCGGTTGTCCACAGCCAAAGCTGGGAGCTCTCTTGTGACGTTACGGCAGAGAATACTCTCTGAGCATGAAAGCCTTTGTCATTTGGATCCTGAGTCCTGAATAATATGATTAAAGAAAGTGTAGCAGTTCATAAAGTATAGTGGAGAATAAAAAAAATCAAACTGGCCGAAACCGGTTTGGCTCAGGGGGATAGAGCTTCAGCCTGTGGATTGAAAGGTCCCAGGTTTGATTCTGGTTAAGGGCATGTACCTTGGTTGCGGGCACATCCCCAGTGGGGGTTGTGCAGGAGGCAGCTGGTCTATGTTTCTCTCTCATAGATGTTTCTAGCTCTCTATCCCTTTCCCTTTCTGTCTGTGGAAAATCAATAAAATATATTTTTAGAAAATCAAACCGGACACATATGAAAGGCCTGTGTGGAGTGGCGACCCTGCCTGCACACAGAACGTGTGCTCTGCACACACAGTCTGTCTCAGTGGTTGGTGGTCCAGTTCCTTAGGGACTGGGTTCTTGGTATCCCTGGAACTCAATCGAATCGGATACCATATGGGATGGCAACTAAGCAATTTATATCATTCCTTATTGAAAAGATGTTTATTTATTTAGAAAGCTTCCCTCCAAAAGGGGTGAAAATACTTTTCTTACTAGAAAAGGGTCACTGAAAACTGAAATTCCTGAGGAATTGCACGTAGAGCTTTGTCATTTTAGATCAGCATTACATTCCTTCATTTGTAAAACGGCCAGAGGAAGAAGGGCAGGGACGAGGGGAGATACGCAGCAGTGGACAGGGCTTTTTGTGTGTGGCATAACTTAATACTAGTACAAGTGTGCGAATTTTGAACACAGATTTTAGAAAGCAAAGTGAGCCTTCACGTTGTGGCATTCAGACCCAACGCTTTGTCTCTTTGGTCAGAGTCTGGCTAAATGCATAGCAGCCTGGTGGGAAACTCTAGGAGTGACTGAACTTGGAGGGGGCAGCGTTGGGTGAAGAAGGTTGGGTGAGGGGACTTGGTTGGTGTGAGACCCAGGAGTTTCCTTCGAACCCTCTACATTTACAGGAGCTCCGCAGAAGGTAAACCTTGCCAAGACTGGAGACTTCAGTACTTCCCTCTTCTCAACAAGTACAAATTAATTGAACATTAAGCAATTTGATCTCTTTCACCTAATAAATGGAGCAAATTCAATAAACATAAATCCTAGTGATTGAGCTGCCCCTGGTGGGGCTGTGCTCATCAGCAGTCATGGTTATTCCTCTCCCTGGAATCGTAGTCACAGATGCTTATTGCTGAACAAACTACTTCCCTGATGCTTAAGGTCTGGGGAGTGGATTTAATAATTTCCTTAGGGTTCAGAAGGGCAGCTGGGGAGTAGAAAGAACATGGTTTTGCACACAGACCAATTTAGGTTCAAATTCCTCACCTAGCCCGGTCAGCGTGGCTCAATGGTTCAGCATCAACCTATGAACCAGGAGGTCACAGGTTCGATTCCCAGTCAGGGCACCTGCTCAGGTTTCGGGCTCCATTCCCAGTAGGGGTTGTGCAGGAGGCAGCTGATCACTGATTCTCTCTCATCATTAATGTTTCTATCTCTTACTTCCTCTCCCTTCCTCTCTGAAATCAGTAAATATATATATATATATATATATATATATATATATATATATATATATATTTTTTTTTTTTTTTTTTTTTAATTTCTAAACTAGGACTTATACTAGAAACCTAATTTTCTTATTGGAAACAAAGGAGCTAATTACAATCATTTCAGGGAGCTGTTCTGAGATTTAAATGACAAGGTGTGTGTAAAAGTGCACAGCATCTCACACAAAGGAGCTTCATGGGACAGGTTAGCTGACCTTCCTTTTTCGGCTGTTCTTTAGCCAGTGTCTGCGTGGTACTTTTGTTCCCCTAATGCTTTTTTTTTTTTAATTGATATTTTACAGAGAGGATAGAGAGCTAGAAACATTAACGAGAGAGAAACATTGACCAGCTGCCTCCTGCATAGTCCCTACGGGGATATGCCCGCAGGCAATGCACATGCCCTTGACCAGAATCGAACCTGGGACCTTTCAGTCCACAGACTGACGCTCTGTCCACTGAGCCAAACCGGTTTCGGCCACTAATGCTTTCTTTTTTGTTGTTCAGTAGTTCTCCCCTATTCATGGGAGATACATTCCTAGACCCCCAGTGGATGGCTAAAACCACAGATAGTACTTAACCCTGTATATTCTATGCTTTTTCCTCTGCGTACAAACCTATAATGAGGTTTAATTTGTCAGTTAGCGCAGTAAGAAATTAACAATAACTAATAGAATAGGACAATTATTAACAATACACAGTGTAATGAGAGTTACTGTGGTCTCTCTCTTAACATATCTTATTATGGTGTACCCACCTTTTCACTTAATGGGAGCCCTTTATGTGCTTCTAAACACATCAAAGTTGCCAGGATCACTGCTCTTGTGCGTAGGGGCCATTATTAGGCAAAATAAGGGTGACTTGAATACAAACACTGCAAGAGCCCAACAGTCAATCTGATAACCAAGGCCGCTGCTGCTACTAAGGAACTAAGGGTAGGTAGCACGTGTAATGTGGATACACTGGACCAAGAGATGACCCACGTCCCAGGCGGGACAGGGCAGGATGGCAGGAGACGTCATCCCACTGCTCAGAACCATGTGCGATTTAAAACTTACAGTCTCTTTCTAGAAGTTTCCTTTTCACATTTTCAGACCATGGTTGACCGCAGGCAACTGAAACCACGGAACGTCAGGCCCCAGATAAGGGAGGACTATTGTCTATACTTGTGTCTCTCTGAGTGACTGTCTCTCCTCTTCTTCACTTGGTTGGCCTCCTCCCTGTAGACCAAGCATGTCAAACTCATGGCAGGCGGGCCACACCGTACAGTAAGCATGTCAAACTCATGGCAGGCGGGCCACACCATACAGTA